TCATTAACCCACAGGCCTTAATTACCACTCGCGTTGTTGCCTGCGAGACAGAAGCAGAGCTGGCCTTCCGGAGCAGGAAGGGGAGTGAAAAAAGGTCTGCCCTGGCTGTCATCAATATATTGATCTTTCCCCTTTCTGCCCCTTCTACCTCTTGGTGTTTAATTGGCAATAAATGAGACCAGTTGGAGGTGTTGTAATTAATGCCTGCCCACAACTCTGTCATGGCCGGAACATGGGATTGCTCTCTCTGGCTTTTCACGGCATACAGCCGCTCAGGAATCTTCTGGTGGAATGATTGTGACTGAAAAGATTCTGTCTTTGCAAAATCAGAGTTTTCCCCCAGGAAAAATTTCCATTTTTGCCAAAAAAAAAAAAAAAAAAAAAAATTCAATTTTTCCCCCCTTCCAGGCAAGCTGAGCTCTTCAGATCTCTGCCTCCACAACCCCAGCCTGGCTGCCTCTGCAGTAGGTTGCATACAGATCCGTTGACAGGATTTGGGGCCTTAAAGAGAGGAAAGATATTCTGGTTCTAATGTGGAGGTACCCTTGAAATACAAGGAAAAGCTGTGCTGGCTATTATTGTCTAGCTACATTTTCATCTGACACACACATTCGCCTGTGGAACTCATTGCCACAAGGAAGCATTAAGTTTAGTGGAATTCGCAAAATGGACTGGCTTCATGTATACACCGAACGAGAACATCCGGATTTATCTTGGCAAAGAACAAACAATCAAATGCAAATAATTGGAGGAAGTGCTCAAAACCTCATGCTTCAGGGTCTGACTCAAGCTCTGTTGGATGGAGGTCAGGAGGAAGCATCCCCAGAGGCAGGTCATGCCATCGCTGCAGGGGTTCTTGCACCTTCCTCTGAAGCAGCTGGGGCTGGTCAGTGTGGGAGACAGATTCCTGGGCTAATCTGCTCCAGTGTCCTATGTTTGTATTCCTAGTCTGCTGAGTTCTTGCCCAGCGGCATTGCCGGGGCCGGAGTTTGGACCTGATGCACGTTTTCAGGAGGACAGTAGTGGACGAGAGATGTGCAGAGGGAAGAATCATAGAATCATAGAATATCAGGGTTGGAAGGGACCCCAGAAGGTCATCTAGTCCAACCCCCTGCTCGAAGCAGGACCAATTCCCAGTTAAATCATCCCAGCCAGGGCTTTGTCAAGCCTGACCTTAAAAACCTCTAAGGAAGGAGATTCCACCACCTCCCTAGGTAACGCATTCCAGTGTTTCACCACCCTCATAGTGAAAAAGTTTTTCCTAATATCCAATCTAAACCTCCCCCACTGAAGAGAGGTCAAGCCGGAGGATGCACTGTCAGCAGGACCAGAGGAAGTCTCTGGCATGGTGGCCAGCAGGGACAAGGAACGGAGACGCTTAACAAGAGACAGGGGCCAGCTGGTGGCCGTTGTAGGGGGATGTGACTGGGCGTCAGAGGAGAGACTCGGACACGGGCCGTGGCCACCAGGGTGGCAGGTTCGACAGCGATGTGGAGCTGGAGCAGGGCTCCTGAAGGGACATGGCCGGGATAGGTGGGTGGGGAGAACACGTGAGGTGGGGTGTAGGGAGGCCAGAGAGAGGAGGGAAGCGACATTAGTCGAGACAGGCAGTTAGGGCACAGACAGGGGTCGGGGTGGAGGTGGTGGAAGAGCCTAGATGGGAGCTTGATGCCCCTCTAGCTGGAGATAACCGCTTCCTCCGGCTGAGTGAACAGCCAGCGATTAGCTGCAGGGATGTCCCTAGCCAGACCTCAGTTCTGCATGCTGGAGGGGGGAGATGAGGCTGCTAAGAAACAAAGTCCCCATTGATGAGAGAGGGGAATGCAGTACAGCCCTGCTCCATCCACAGCACCCATTCCCTGCAGCCTTGATGGGCAAGGAGCACCCTCTGCTGGAAGAAGCCTCTGGATTCTGCAGAAAAGGACCCGGGGATTACAGTGGACGAGAAGCTGGGTATGAGAAGAAGGCCAATGGCATATTGGGCTGTATTACTAGGAGCATTGTCACCAGATTGAGGGATGTGATTATTCCCTTCTATTCGGCACTGGTGAGGACACACCTGGAGTATTGGATCCAGTTTTGGTTCCCCCCACTACAGAAGGGATGTAGACAAATTGGAGAGAGTCCAGCGGAGGGCAACGGAAATGATTAGGGGGCTGGGGCACATGACTTATGAGGAGAGGCTGAGGGAACTGGGCTTATTTAGTCTGGAGAAGAGAAGAGTGAGGGAAGATTTGATAGCAGCCTTCAACTACCTGAAGGGGGGTTTTAAAGAGGATGGAGCTCGGCTGTTCTCAGTGGTGACAGATGACAGAACAAGAAGCGATGGTCTCAAGTTGCAGTTGGGGAGGTCTAGGTTGGATATTAGGAAAACTTATTTCACTAGGAGAGTGGTGAAGCACTGGAATGGGTTCCCTAGGGAGGTGGTGGAATCTCCATCCTTGGAGGTTTTTTAAGGGCCGACCTGACAAAGCCCTGGCTGGGAGGATTTAGTTGGTGTTGGTCCTGCTTTGAGCAGAGATTGGACTAGATGACCTCCTGAGGTCTCTTCCAGCCCTAATCTTCTGTGATTCCAGTTGAGTGAGCAGGAGGAGCCAGGCAAAGTGGTGCCAAAGGGCGTGTCTACACTGAACAGAAAAAGGTGTACCGCTGAGTTTCAGCGCCTGGGGACCAGCCCCCGTGGGTATGTCTGCACCACTGTTTTTAGCCCGGTGAGCCCAAGACAAGTGGGCAGGGCTCCGAGGCTTGATGCCATGGGTTTTCCTTCGCAGGGTAGATGTACCGTGTAAGAAGGCAGACCTGCCCCCAAGGGGTCTGGGGGAAAAACATTTCCATCCAATTGCTTTTTTTTTTAATGGGAAATTGGGTTTGGGGCACAATGAAAATGTTCCTGGAACCAATTTCCCCAATTTCCACCTCTAGCTTGTACCTCTGAGGCCTGGACCCTCAAAGATATTTAGGTGCCCAACTCCCATGGGAGTCCAGCACTTGTAACCCCAGGTTACAAGCCTGAGCAGCAATTCCTACACTGCTATTCTAAGCCCCACAGCACAAACTGGAGGTTGACCCGACCTCTGGGACTCTCTGCCACAAGCCTTTTGTTGCAGTGTAGACGTGCGCCATGTGTCCGAGACTACAGCACTCTCTGCTGCTCAGTGGCTCAGAAATAAAACGTACATTCACAGTGTGTCCTAGAAGTTATGGAAAATCCCCCTTCCCCTAAGAAACCTTCCCTTCTAAACTTTAATTCTTTGACAAAGGGGAGCAAAGTTGAAAACGGCATGTAGTTTCATTTCATTGGAATCTTGTGTGTGTGGTGTCCCTACATTTTGCTGGGGTGTGTGGATTTTCTCCCCCCCCACTGGAAAAGGCTGAAAGAGGGGGAAAGTCAGAAAACACACAATAGTTTTGGTTCAGATTTGTTTCATTGAAAATTCTAAGAATTTTTTTTGTTCAAAACCTTTTGTGCAGATATGTGACCAAGCCGAGTACCCCAGTACACTGTATAATAACACTGTCATCCAGCGATCTCAAAGCACTTTGTAAGGGTGGCATGGGATCATAATCCCCATAGGGAAACTGAGGCACCGAGCAGGGAAGTGACTTGCCCAAGATCGCCCTATAGCACAGCAAGGAATAGAAGCTGGGTCTCCTGACAGCGACTCCCACGCCCCATCCATTGGGCCATGTTTCACCCCAAACAAAGAACGGAATCGTTCTCAATAAAAGACTAATTTATTTCCTTGTGGTTTGGTATATCTCAGTCCCCTCCATTGTTTTTAAAAATAAAGTGATTTATTAATAACCTCGTCAGACATGGCTCTTAATGGGGTGACGGTACGTTCCGCGAGCCCAAACGTGTGCAGTTTAAGGCCTGCGGGACACACCACTGACTAAATGGGTCTAGTTCTACCAGTAGGCCCACGTGTGGACGCAATTACATCAGTATGGAGGTGCTCTACATGGCAGGGGATCTCCGCCATTTTTTCTTTCTGGGGCCCCCACAACAGGCTATAAAAACGCCACGGCTCACTTGTGCCCTAACAACTGTTTTTCTGCATATAAAAGCCAGGTCCGGCGTTAGGGGGTAGCAAGCAGGGCAATGGCCTGGGGCCTCCACGCCACAGGGGGGGCCATGATGCTAAGTTGCTCAGGCTTCAGCCCCCAGGTGGCAGGGCTTGGGACCCCAGGCTTCCCCCCCATGCGGTGGGGCTTTGACTTTCTGCCCTGGACCCCAGCAAGTCTAATGCTGGCCCTGCTTGGTGGACCCCCTGAAACCTGCTCATGGCCCCCCAGGGGAATATAAACTGTACTGGCAGGAGGTGCCTTGGTACTTGTATAGCTGTATCCATTGTAGGAGTTGTCCAGGCAGGGGCACTGGAACAATTGTATAGTGCAGGCGTTGGGAGCCATTGAACCAAACGGTAAATCCTGCCTACGATGGAAGCCAGACGTTTGGTTGCTATTATTCCTTCAAGCCAGCAAGAACTGCTGCACCCCTGTTCCACTGCTCCTGGGCTCCGGGATAGCTCTGTTTAAAAACGAACCCCACCCCTAGCCACCAGTTTCTGCAGAGCTGGTAGAAAATCTGTATGTAAAGCCAGCCTAAATCCCATGGTCAAGGCAAGAAAACGGGGACAACAGTTTGTAAAAAGGCTGCGGTTAAAACAGACTCCTGTTGCATCCATGGCACTTCAAATGGACACATCTTAGGCACCTCTGTCTTGGGCTGGTAGAGAAGGCTTTTGACCTGTCTTTCAAGACTTCTTGAATGATTAGTTACTTTCACGGTAGCACCTCCAGGGCCTCATTGGACTGAGTACTGCACAGATGCATAGTGAGAGAGAGTCCCTGCCCGAAGATCTAAACAGCTCAGGAAGGATTCGTTTTTAATACAGAGAGGGGAAACTGAGGCCCAGAGGGAGGAAGGGCTTGCCTGCAGGCAGAGCTGCACTGGTTAAGCCAAAGGTGTGTGTTTTATACCAATGCCCAAGGCTGGATGGAGGTGACCCTTTCAGTCGGAGCGCTTTATTTTGATTTAACTGAAATCAACGAGGAGCAGGTTTAAGATCAGCCACTGTTTAAACCAAAATAAGAGAATCCACTCAGTTTGCATCAGCTCAGTGATGCTGGTGTGTACGCCAGGCTTAAAAGACTGGCCTGATCTCACACCGGGCTTCTGACCAAGCCAGGAACTGAACCCAGATCTCTCAGTCTAGCCTCCCACGGCTTCCTTTTCTCTGGAAAGGAGCCTGGACAGCGAGTGAGGCTGAATGGGGGTGAAGAGGGCGTTAGCCCCATGGGAACGTTGATCCTGGCTTCCATTCGCTTCGTATTCCAGGCATGGGGTAGATGGGCAGGGACAGTCCTGACCCGGGGATCCTTGCAAGAGGAGGTGGGATGGGGTGGAGACCATGGCCTGGCTTCCTTCCTCCCATCACAAGCTGCTACTCCTCTGTCCACAACAAAGGCTAAGTCCACACTAACACCCCTTGCAGTTGGCAGATGCTCAGGAAATCTCCCCCTATACTGGATGGCTTGAATCAGGTGGGCCCACGTGGTTAGCAGGCTGAGGTGTGCCGATGCAGAGCTTAGCCAGAGAGGGAAATCCCATTAGACGCTTGCACTCCTTTCGGCGTCCTCAGAGTTCACAGCTGTCATGTACCCATCCTGATTATCCTCAGGGACCTGGATGAAACCAGAGACACAGGGTGACACTGGGTATTTTCCTGCTCAGACCATCTGGGGACAATCGGAAACCTTGTGCGGAAGAGACACTGACTGTGAGCCATGACTCTGGGCATTGATGGTGACCATAATACAGCAAGTGGCACCAGCTGAGGGCATGTGTTAGCATTAGACACAGTGATTGGGAAACTCTTTTCCTATTATGGAGAAGGTGAGTGTTAGGATGTCGGTGACAGTTTCAGGGCAAATGCACCTATTTCCCAGCCCCCTACGGTCCTGGGAGGGGACCCACTTAAAGGTTTCTGGCTCCCAGCCACTGTCTCTGTCATGGCTGATTTTTTGTTTAAGTCTCTGGCCTGGGACTCAAAAGACCAGGGTTCAATTCCCAGTTCTGCTCCAGATTTGCCCCGTGACTCTGGACAAATCACCTGGGGCTATGTTTTCAAGCGCTCCCACTGGCGACTTTACAAAGCAAAGGCAGCTGCTGAGCGCTTTGGAAAAAACGGGCCTTTTCCCCTCAGCGTCTCAGTCCACATCTGTCAAATGGAGTGGATCATTTTTTTGCCTAGCTAGGTGGCAAAGCTCATCTGGGCAGGGCCTGGGTCTCATTATGTGTACGTGCAGCCCCTTGGCTCATGGGGCCCTGATCCTGGTCTTAGCTGCTAAGTGCTATGGTGAAATAAGTCATATGTGGCGCTCAGTCTGCTACGGCTCTTCAGGGATCAGCCTCTGCTGCTTGTGGGACCTTGCCGAAAGAAGACGAAATCAAGGATTTACCTCCCAGTAGATCTGATCCTCGAAGCACTGTGTGTCTGGAGGGGACCCAAGCGCCCTGATTTTCAAAGTCGCTCCTGGGAAAGTAAAAGGAAGGGTGAGGGAAAAGTTCGTCCCATTCTGCAGTCTCTTTTCAGAGGTACTGGTCACCTGCAGCTCCTCTTGTAGCCAGTGGGAGCAGCCAGGGCTCAGTACCACTAAAAATCAGGCCCACTTATTTTGTTGCCTGTATTTTGGATGTCAAACTTCAACTACCCAACTTTGAAAAACTTAAGAGTTTTTAACAGCTGCTGATTTCCCGACGCCTTGGTTTATGCTGACCTCTAGTGGCCGGACAGGAGTTTGGCACTCAGTGGTTATAGTATTTAATAGGGATTTATGGAGAACTAATTTCGAAGTGTAGACGCTACTTAAGAGAGGATTATAAGCTCCTTTATGTTCTGTGTCTGTACAGTGCCTAGTGCCCCGGGGGCCTGTCTGTGACTAGAACTCCAAAACGCTACCACAACACAAATAATTAATAATAGTAAAGTACTCGACTTGAGAATCGGGAGACCTGGGTTCAATTCTCTCCTCTGCCACAGACTCCTTGTGTGACCTTAGTCAAGTCACTTTAGGCCCAAATCTTGAAAGGGATTTAGGAACCTAAATATCTTTGAGGATCTGGTTCTCATTTGGTTCTCTTATTGGCAAAATGGGGATAATGATTCTGTCTTGTCTATTTAGACTGCAAAGTCTTCAGGTCCAAGGCCATCGGTTGTTATACCCACGTGTGGTGCCTAGCCCAATGGGGCTCTGATCTCTGCCGAGATCTGTGCTACTGCACCATCAATAACTGCTATTGAATCAAACCAAAAATGCTGCACTTTGTGGTCCCGAAGCCCTGTAGCAACGTTACCATGAGATGTTCCTGGAGTCCTAGGCGCCGACTCCGTGGGTGCTCTGGGGCTGGAGCACCCACAATAAAAAGTGGGGCACCACCAATCAGCTGTTTGGCAGCTGGGAGCGGGGCTTGGGGGCGGGCGGAGAGCAGCGGGCGGGAGCTTCAGGGCAGGGGCAGAGCCGGGGTGGGAAGAGATGGATCAAAGGCAGGGCCTCAGGAGAGGGAGCAGAGTGGGTGCAGGGCCTCAAGCGGAGCAGGGGTGGAGGATAAAAGTCTATGTTTCTGCCCGCGGTACTGTGACCACAGTGAAAAGATGCCCCATCAACAGGCACAAAGCTCACCCACGAGGCTCCCTCCGACCACCGCGAACCCCAGCGTGATGAGTAACGCGAAGAACTGGTAGGCTCCCTGGTACTTTGCCGTCCGGCTTCCGTTGGCAATTAAAGGGAACACGTCGGCCATCCTGCAAGATCGGTAAGACCAGGTATGTGTTGGGAACTCCTGTAACTCATGATGACCAAGGTAAGGCCTTGTCCCCATCACACGCCTGATTCATTTAAGGGGATAAGAATCTACTGCTGCTGGAAGTCAGTGGAGTTATTCCATTAGCTTGAGCTGTAGCCCGTCTGCTCCTAGTGCTGAAGGTCACCTGTTCAAATCCTGCCCATGGGCCAGCATCAAAGCCAGGTTGTGGGCGCTCAGTGCGGCTTCAGGGACTGATGTTTTGCTACTGTGGAACTAATGAAGCCATAGAGATGTAACCGTGAAGGATTGCCTAGATACAGAAGGGTCCAGAGGCAGCAGAAAGGGTGCAGTGTTAGGGGTGTGGAGGATTTGGACAGTCCTCGACCTCTGGAGCTCACTCACTGCTTGTCCCCTGACAGGGGCTTTTTGGGGGTGGATCAGACGCATCTATTGCTGGAGGGGGAGCTTACTGTCCACAGCAGTGGATAGTCCTGCCACTGAGGAGCAATTCCCTTCACCTCTCCATGCTCCGGTTTCCCCATCAATATGACTGCAATAATAATGTCCTTCTCCCAGGGGTTGCGTTACGAGGCAGAACTAGTGTGAGTAAAGCACCCAGGGTTGGAAGGTACTATAGATAGGCTTGGCTGTCAATGTTAGTAAATATCTGATGACTGAAATTTACAGCGGGGCAAAGTAAGAAAAACAAAAACGCTGCTTAAGAACTTGATTTCAGGCTGTTGACCTGTCATTTTGCCACGTGCCGCTGACTCTTTGCGCCTTCGAGTTCTAAAGCTTCAACTTCCTGCATCTCCGCGTCTACTCTCGTTAACTAATGACTGTCTGACGGCCTCTGTGGTCTGTCCACCCCCCATAACTTCCCCACAACTGTGAACAAGTAAATAGATAACTTGAAAAAAAAATGCTTTAAAATAACCCTTTGTGTTATCCAGCGACCATATTAAAACATAGTCGTACGTTGCTAAGTCTCGCTGTAAAGCCTGGGTCTTCGATATGTGGGCTATTCCCGCCCCCCCATGCCCCGAGCAGCGTTGCGAACAGGTGTCGGGGGAGGGGATAGGAACTGCCCTGCCCTTTCCATAATACACACTGACCTTCTGGTGCTGGTACACAGGAAGGGGGTTCTTGGTCCTGAAAAGATGGAGAACGGCTGCTATAGAAATACCGTCTCCCAGGGAATAGCCGTGCAGTGATTCTCGGCCTCTCGGTGGCCGTACGGAGTTAGTGAGCAGAGGACAGGGTGGTGTGTTAGTGAACCGTGCGTGCTCAATGCCTGGCGTGCATGGAGCTGCCTAGATGTCACCTCCCACCCACTCCGTCACCGGCATCGGGTGGGGTGCGATTTACGATCGAAATCAAGGAATCCACTGGGAGGGGAGGGTTGGGATGAAGGATGGTCTCTTCCCGCCCCCCCCGCCCCCCAAGTGAGTGAGACTGGCGTGCCGAGCGGCGCTCACCCGTCCCCGTAGACGTCTTGTGTTGCCAGAGCTGCCACCAGAGCTCCCAGGAGAGCACCCAGGACGCCCGGCATCCCATGGAGGTTGTGGACCCCGCACGTGTCCTGTATTTTTAGTCTGGCGTCCAGGATGGGCTGTGGAGAGCACAGAGGGGTTGTGAGGACATGAAGGCCTAGAGGCGCGTTCAGGGCACGAGTTCTGCAGCGGGTATCTAAGAGGCGCAGTGCAGGGGGTGGGAGGGCTTAAAGCAACCTTTCTGGACTGCCCCGGGGGCTGGAAAGCCCCTTGGTGTCACTGAGACATCCCTGGGAGCCTGTCTAAAGGCACGTCCACGCGGGATGCTTCTTACAGCAGTGTGGAGAGTACATAGATGGCTTCCTCCCTCCCCCTTGCGCAGGTTCAAATAGCAGTGTCGATGGCAAGGCAGGGCTTAGGCAGGCAAAGGAAAGACGCGCCTGACCCCTGTGGGTATGTTTCCAGTACAAACCCTACACGGTTCTCTGCACGCACAAGGTAGCATTCCCGCTGTCTTCCTCCCGCGCCCCCGGCCAGAGCCATTCGCTGCCACCCGCACGCCGCAGTGTGGACGCAGCTCGCTTTTCGCTGCGGCACGTGGCCACGTGTACCCTACGCATCACCGCCAGCGCTGTGTAATACAGACATGGTTTAGGCCCCAGCAGTCCCCACCCCCGGGCTTCAGGGCTGTTCTTGAGGCCTGGCCCCCACGGCACACCCGATGCTGGGGGTAGCGAGGCAGAGGCAGCAGGGCGGCTGTCTTCCACAGTCCCGGCGCTGGAGGAAACCTCCCCTGGCCCCAGCTGGGGTTTCAGGGCCTCTTTATGCTACTCCAGTTCCTTTTCCCTGTGTAAAGGAGGGCGAGGGCCTTGCTAGAAGGCCTGAGTCTCACTGACCCCAAGGTCCAGCACAGCGGGCAGAAAGGAAACTTTCACCCACTTTGAGGGCCCTGGCCGGCGCTCTGGAGAAAAGGGGCCTTACTGCCAATGAGGATCAGGCCCCACATTAAAGGTACGTACGCACGCACGACACGCTCCCGTCCGTCGTGGGTAGAGTGCCTGAACAACGTGCCCCCCGCATGGGTATAACTACCAGTGTAGGTTGCAAGGCACCGTTTAGGCAAGTAAAGACACACCTGGCCTCTGTGGGTGTGGACCCTACACGGCTTTCTACGTGCCCAAGCAGGGCCTTCCCTGTCTACACAGCCCGACGCTTCCTCCCGTTCCCTGGCAGGCAAAGCTACACGCCGCTGTGTGACCACCGCCCGCTTTTCACTGTGGCGGGTAGCTCCGCGGACCCTCTGTGCCGCGGCAAGAGGCATGCTGCGTAGACGTCACCGACGGGACGTACCGTGAGGAATTTGAAGCCCAGGGTAGAAACGAGCCCAGCCAGAAACCCAGCGATCATGGCACCGAATGGAGTCAGCATCATCTCGCCTGACGTCCCGACCACGACCCCGCCGGCTAAGGCTGCGTTCTGAATATGGACCTAGAGAGAGAGCATGGGGGGAGGAGCTCAGTTCAGACTCCCGCACCCACCGCTGGTCAGGTGCGGTGAAGACTGGAAGGAGAGGTGGTGAGAAAGTTGGGAAGAATTTCAAAGTTGCGTCTGGAAGGCACGGTTCAAAACAGCAGCCCCTCGAAAGGGGAATCTTAGATCTTAGAAGGCCCAGAGGGAGAGGAACTGTCCCCATAGTATCTACCAATGGTATTTATGTGGGCTTCATCACTACAGCACCAGAGCACCTCTCAGTCTGCAGTGTATTTATCCTCACAATCTCCCTGTGAGGTAGGGCAGCGCTATTGCCCCATTGTGCAGATAGGGAAACTGAGGCACAGAGACTGAGTGACTTGCCAAAGGTCACAGAGTGAGTCTGTAGCAGAGGAGGGAATAGAACTCAGGTCTCCCAAGCTATAGGGCTAATGTCCTAAACACTAGGCCATCCTTCCTTGCTGCCTCTGGCAATATCCTTGGGAGTTTTATTGAATTAAGTTTGTCTCTTTGGGCTCCCTTGTATTAAATGAATGGTTTGTGGTGTTGTGGGCTGAGATTATTTGTAACCTCTCAAGGGGCGGGGGGCAAATGTGACAGATGTGAGACCTGGGGCTTGAAATGACTATAATGACCAATGTGCCAGACAAGAATGGACTTTTAGAACAGAAAGCGCTAAGTGGTTTTCCTGGAGAATAGTTGGGGGCAAAGAATGCAAATTCCCCACCGCTAGTTACACCAAAATCCAGCCTTTTGAAGCTACACCCTGAAGATCGCGTCACTGCCTGCTGACGGCCTGGTACGTGAAGACAAGATGAAAGGCCCAAGCTGTATAAAGGAGAGGCTGAACTGTTCATGGCAGCGGTGAACTGACACAGTACTCCTTTTCTTTTTGCGAATACAGACTAACACGGCTGTTACTCTGAAACCTGACACAGGTGTGAACTTATAACCATGGGGAAAACCTGATTGGGGGTTTTGAAGGACTGACACCTCCCAGAGCCCGAGTCTGGAGTTGGATTGGGCTCTAGTGAGCCTTTCAGCGTGTGGGTAAGTTCTTGTATTGTTTTAAATAAGTTTTCTCTGTAATGCTGCTACCTTAAGAATAAATACGCTTGCTTAGAAAGCGTTGGGTGGTAACATAACTGCGAGCAATTACGCTGCTCGTTGCTTTCTCTCCAGAGGCTGCTTGTGCAGCCTGACTGGCTTGCTGGGAATATCACAATGCAGGCTGGAAAACCCTCAGTCAGGAGGGAGAGAGACGGGGGTCTCTCCCCAAGCGATGTGAGGGCTGGGGAACTGGGAGCGCCTGGTGGACCACGATGGGGGAAATACAGGCATCCTCAACTGTGACACCCATAATCCCACCTGCTCACCTGTCCACCATCTTGGGAAGGATGGTCCTGGCGAGACAGGTCTGCACAAAGGGAGCCCCACTCTTGTGCATCTCTGCAGGTCGCCAGGCTCAGGGCTCCTCTCCTGCAGAGCCTCGGGGGTGCGTAGCAGAGTCCACACGGCCAAAAGACTGAGGTTCTCATTGGAAGGGGGAAATGTGTCTGGCAGGAGACTTGGGGGTATGGGTGGCAGGTATCGAAGGCCAAAGGAGGCTAAGCCTCCCCTAACCCAGGCCATGGCTCCCCTGAGGCCTCCCCCTTGGTCCTCTTCTCCCCTGAAGCCAGCAGGGGCTCAGCTGCAGACGACAGCCAGTGGTGGCTCAGGGATCAGGCCGGTCGTGAGGGTGGTGGACTCGGGGCTCAGGCGTGCCCTTGGGAGGAAGGGGCGGGGCTGGGGGCTAGCCTCCCCGAAGGTAGGGTTCACCCACCGCCCATGCTTGGGGAGTCAGCAGCAAAAAGACAGAGCTGCCACTGAGTTGACTCACCATGTCCAGTTTGCCTTCCCCATTGATGAGGGCTGACGTGGCAAAGGTGGCCAGCGTGCTAGCGGCCAGGGAGAAGTAGGTGTTCATGACTGTCCGCTGCTGGTCATCGCCACAAGCTGTAATGGCAGAGTTGAAGCTTGGCCAGAAGAGCCATAGATAGATTGTTCCTGCATGGGAAGGAATTAGGAGTTGAAAGCAGATTTGGAAGGCAGGGAATCTCCCACAGAGCTGATGGGGAATGTTCTGTGAATGCTTTTGCTTTGATCAAAAGCCGCTTGTTGTCAAAACAACTTTTTTTGACGGAAAATGGGTCTTTGACCAAAATGTAAATGGGCATACACGCTTTTCTTCTGGGTTGAAATTTCCTGTTTTTTCCATTGAAAAAAACAGAAAATGAAAGACTAAGTGTTGGATTTCGGTTAAATCAAAACCCAAAACACTTTTACCAAAAATTTTCAGTTTCTGATTTTTCAACAAAAAGCGCCCTCCCCTCCCCCCCCCACACACACACACAGTTTATGGAAAATTCAGAGGGGAAAATGTTGGGTTCGAATCCATGCTCTAGAAAAGACTCAAAATTTGACTTTTCTGATGGAATTTTCAGGTTTGGTTTGACATAAACGCCCCCCCCAAGAACTGCTGCTGAGCAGACAAATCAGCTATTCACCCAGCTGTTTACTGAGAGAGTTGTTTACTGTTTAACAAAGGACTTTTCTAAGTGCCCTATAATACACATGCTTGCTCGGATTGTTTTGAAACTTGCTGTACCGTATCTGTGCCAGTCTATACTGTTATGGTCACCACTTTTACAAGACTCTAATATATTTTGTACAAAGCATACCTTGTGAGAGATCATTGGAAAACTCATATCCCACTGAACATTATTGTCCTGGTAAAATATGTGTATCAACATTGTATGGTAAGTTATAAGTTTCTACTATATAACATTGCTGTAACACAGGGGTTCTCAAACTGGGGGTTGGGACCCCTCAGGGGGTCACAAGGTTATTACATGGGGGGTCACGTGCCGTCAGCCTCCACCCCAAACCCCGCTTTGCCTCCAGCATTTATAATGGTGTTAACTATATAAAAAAGTGTTTTTAATTTATAAGGGAGGTCACACTCAGAGGCTTGCTATGTGAAAGGGGTCGCCAGGAAAAAAGTTTGAGAGCCACTGCTGTAACGTGTTCCAGAGCTAAAAAGGCAGGTCCAAACCAGTTCTTCAAAGACGCATTAGCACCCCCAGCCAGGTGTTAATGAGCTGTCACTGGCTTAAGCAGCCAATCTTCAGCAACATGAAGGTGTAAACAAGAAATTCACATGTCATCACAGAGATGGTTCAACCCGTACGTCCCCAAGAAGCTACTTGTCGCCTGCACCCCAGTCAGGAGTAATCCTCAGAGAGGGGAGGTTGGTATAAGAGAGAGACAGAGGCCTCCTCTGCTCATGACATCAACAACTCTTGAAGAATTGAACTAAGAGGGGAGTGGTCCCAGCAGCTGTTCAGTGGTCCAGACGGTACCCTGGGTAATGTCACACTGGGACAGGGTTAAGGGTCCAAATTTGGAGTCATCTGAGCAAGGGGATCTCAAGATAAAGCCCCCTAAAAATACCACAGTCATAGTTTTCCGATTCGTCAGATGTTATTTTGGCCCCATCCGGGGCTCGAGCTACGTGTGTTCCGAGTCCTTACCGATCATAGCAAAGAGATCTGAATGGTACACGGAGCCTTCCCTCTGTCTGCTCTTGTCCAGCTGGGGCCGATACAAGATCCGCGAAACCATCAATCCGAAATAAGCCCCGAAGGTGTGGATGGTCATGGAGCCCCCAGCATCCTTTGCCTGGTTGGTACAGGAAGCAAAGGATGGTGCTGAAAAGGGGGCAGGAGGTAATACAGTCTGTACCACCACTGGGCAGCATGTTTTCAGCCCAACTGCGCTTAGCAAAGAAACACGGATTCGACAATATTGAAATGTTTCGCAAAGTCATGTCGGTTTTGTCGAAGGCTTTGGTGAGCAGGGGAAGGGAGGGAGCCCTAAAAAATCTTTAGAAATCTAAACATTTGACTTGAAAACTATTTTTCATTTGGAAGCTTCCTGGAATTTTATTTTAAAAACCGTTTTAAATGCTTGCAAGAAAACATAGCTAGATTTATTTAAAAATAAAGGTGGGGATAAAAACCACCCAAAAACTAAATGAAAATAATTACGCTTTGGGTCAAATTAAATGTTTAGTTTGACCCAAAACAATTTTTTAAATTTTATTTAGCCACTGAACCAACAAGTCAGGTATTTGCTCAGCTTGACAACCACGCTGTGACCCAGCTTAGAACAGCTTAGAACAGCTTGCTCTGGGGAACGGAAGAGCCATGAAAAGTGTGACTTACCCCAATGACGCTGAGCAGGACGAATTCATTAATACCAAAGAGTGTGACTTCAAACAAGGCCATCAACAGCAGCTGGATGGGGCTTGTCTTGCCCAGAACTGCTCCGAAGGAGATCAGGACAGCTCCGGAGCAGAAATCGGCATTGATCATGCTAGCAGGAATAGTGAAGAAAGTAGAACAGGTTGCAGGAGACTGTTACCCCGGGCAGATTGCCAACACAAGACCAGTTTCCTCTAGATTTAAATGGTGCAGGGACCCTTGCACCTGGGTGAATTTCAGCCTTCAGTTTAATGGATAAGGGAGAAGATTGTGCACTTGACAGTCTGGGAAATTCACAAGGGTCCCCAAGAGAAAAGCTTTCCAGAGAAGGAACGGCAGAATCGGTTAGCAGGTGTGATTGGAGACTTTGGAACAGAAATGCTAGGCTCATCTAACGAATGGGTGGAAGGGCTAAGAACTGAGCTGGAGGGTTTCACATCTGTGAAATTACCCAGCCGGTATTGTGGTCTGCAGGAGGCCAGATGATCTATTGATCCTTTCTAGTCTCGATCTAATGAGTGAAAAAAGCCCTTCTGTTGTTCCGTGTATTACAGTAGCCTCAACTGAGATCAGAGTGCATTGTGCTAGGTTCTGTCCATACACACAGGGAGAGATGCGCTCCGCCCCGGAGGCGAGAGAAATGAGCTCTTGTTATCCCTATGGTACAGATAGGGAGCCGAGGCCCAGGGAGACAAGGTCACAAGGGGAGTCTGCAGCAGACATGGGATTTCAGCCTAGGCCCTCTCATGCCTATTGCCAAATCCGCTTTTGACTGCTGCATAAATGAGCAAATCAGGCTGAGGCAACACAATGGCGTTCTGATCACAAGCATGTCTGACATGAACATCTGTGCGGCTCCCTGGCTTAGAGCTGGACCCGGAAGGAAAGCTGTATGTGTGACTTCACACCACGTTACCATCTATCCGAGCACCTCTGAACCTTTATCCTTGCAACCCCTGGGAGCCAGAGCAGGGCTGTTCTTCCAGTTTTACCAATAGGGAGCTGAAGTACAGAGACTTACCCACTGTCACACAAAGAGTCTGTGGCCAAGCTGGGAATGACCCACCTGACATCCTTCCTCTCTGACACCTGGCCTCCAGCCACTCACCTCTCTATTCCGATGTGAATCTTGCCATTGTGAAAAGAGTGGAAAAAGCCTTGGATCAGTGTAGACCACTGGATAGCGAACGCCGCGATCAGGAAGTTAAAGGCTACGCTGCCAAATCCATAACGTTTCAGGAAGGTCATCAAGAAGCCAAAGCCGATGAAGATCATGGTGTGGACATCCTGGAAACCTGGGGAAAGCATCACAAATGGATTTGATCTCGGGGGAGACGGAACTTGTCAACACATTTTCTGAAATATTTATTTCCCCCCACCCCACCCCAAAAAACCCTCAAGTATCGACAGCTTTTTGACATGCTCCAGGATTGGTGCAAAATAACCCAGAAGGGGAGAAATCCACAAAAATGTTGACTTTTTTTTTCGTTTTTTTTTTTTTTTTAAATCTGAATTTGAAACTGCCTTTGAACTTCAAAACATTTTTAAACTTTCTGTCAGGAAGAAGAGCCGGAGAATCCACCCCAGAGGATATAGGTAGACTGCAGTGCTAAGATCATCCTCTCAGCACAAATGCAGGTGAGCATTTCCCAGGACCGTTTCTTTCCCCTCTGCTTTCATCAGAACAGAGAGCAGCCCCCAGCCGGCTCTAGGAAGCCATCATCCAGGGCAAGAGAGCAGCCAAGCGACCTTGAGAATTCGCCGAGCACGGACGTGCCATGTGGCCCCGTTCTCTGGGGCTGCCCCATGGAACGATGACCTCGCTGAGTGGCAGCTGCGCAAACACTGTACCTCACCGCTTTGTTCTTCCGCCGTTCAGGCGGGACGTAAAAAGCAAGGTCCTGACATTAAAGAACCTGTGACACCTTTCGCAAGAGCTCTGGGGTGTCTCCTGGACATTTTCCAACTGGAGCCACTCCCCCCACCTCCCCACTTTTCAGAAGTGAAGAATCAGAAGTGCAGTGCTCCACTCCAGACGTGGCTGCATTTCAGTGGGGGACAGGTGACCCCTGTTCTGTAAAGCACTTTGGAATTCTTCGGGCTGACTAGTGCTACGAAAACCTAAGTCCTGGTTAGAAGCATCATGAACAGTGTTGCACTTGTAAGGGCGACATTTCCACCCAGAATCTTACGCGGCGTTACTGTGGGAACATGGACAATAATTCTTAGCCATCGCAGAGCACCTTTCCTGCCTAGATCTCTCCTTACAAAAGTGGGGAGCGGTTACAGATCATTGCTAGTTCTCGCGATTTTATCACAAGTCTCGTGATATTTGCTGTTCTTGATAAAGCCCTGCTCTGGGAGTCAAGTGGTGGGGGGAGAATTCAAAGTCACTTCTAGCCCTCATGTCTGCAGAGAAAAGCTTGCAAGTGCAAGTGAATCTAGTGCACCCTAAAGGCTCAGAAACCAGACAGAAGATAGATAGAACCCGGAGTTTTGTTTTTGTTTTTTAATCTCACAATTTTAAGCCAATATCATGATTTCTTTGGGTGCCTGAGCCATGATTTTTTTTTTGAACCGTTATGGGGTTCGCAACACTGTTGCTATTATCCTCATTTAGCATACAGGGAAACTGAGGCAGAGAGCAGGGGAAGAGGTTTGCCAAAGGTCACACAGCAAGTTAGTGGCAGAGCTGCAAAGGGAACCAAGTTCTCATCACTCTTAGTCCCTTACTATAACCATTAGACCAAGTGGGCTGTTTGTCCAGTTAAACCAGTTGTAAATCCAGAGTGACTCCCCTGACTCCAGTGGATTTTAGATCAGTGAAAACAATCGCAGAGATGTGGAATGCCAAGCCACTTGTGGAATCGCTCTGAAACCAGTGCGCCAAATGCAGCTGGGAATAAGAAGGTCTTATTCTCCCTGGTCCAGCACCTCCTGTTTTCATTCGCACCAATGCTAAGCATGTGCACCGCACTATGGGCCTGATTCTCACTTCCGCTATTAAGGTCCCTTTGCACTGCTCTGGCAGCGTGAAAGCCCCTTTCACTAGGCTAGAGCGGCATAAAGGGGCCTTTGTGTAAATGAGAATCAAGCCATCAGCACTGGGTGGGTATAAAAATGATTGTAACTTTCATGCCCGGGGGAAGGGGGGCGGCGGAAATCGGGTCTATAGCAGGAACAGCAGCGAACCAGAGAGCTATGCGAGTACAGGGTCTGCTGTGTTCTCTTAAACTCTCCCCCTTCACCACCCCCAGCACAGAGATCTGCCAGCTTCTTCACCACCCCCTCGTTCCACAGGAGTTAACACAGCCCACAGAGTGCCAAGATCCTGCGCGGGTGTAAACCGGTGTCACTCCACGGCAGCCAATGGGACTACACCTGGGTAGCACCTGCCCCTCCGTCTCGTCACCTCGCTGCTGCCAGCGTATGGAGCTAACACTCGACACTGGCGACAGTCACAGGTACAGGCTTTCGCTCATGGCCTCCGGCCATGCCACCATGTGCTCTGCACGGAAAGTGACTAAAGTAAATATAAACTCTGCAGGTGCACAAGCATTAGGCTCATGATTCAGGAACAAAGCAAGGGCCTGGTCTTGTGGTGCCCTGCACCCTGTGGGAGTCCTTTGCTCTGGTGTGAAGTGGGTGTGAAACGGCGCCTGCCTGATGCTCATTTACGCCAAGGCCCTTTACGCTGGTCTGGCAGGTCTTAAAGAGGAAGTAGACTCATTACACTCCTGCTAAGATCCTGCTTCCCTTGCCAGAGTGGTGTAAAAGGCCCATGGTATAAAGGACACTCTGCATCTACCACTGTGAGGATCAATATATTAAAGATGACAAAACATTTGGGAGATCTACCAATGACAAATGCTATCTCAGAGCCTGGTATGCTTAGTTTATGATTTTGTAGCATTTTACACTTATTTCATACTAGTGCCAATAACAACCCAAGGGGCCCAATGCTGATTTACACCAGGGCCCCTTTACCCCACTCTGGCAGTGTACTTACATGTGCTTGACACCCGTGCTCTGCCCAAGTAGAATAAAGAGGCCTTAGTGTAAATAGGACGCCCGCGGGCGCAAGGTACAGGGCAGTGAAGAATGAGGGGGCATCTACCCTGCAAAAAAAGACCCACGCAGCAAGTCTCAGATCCTGGGTCAACTGACTTGGACTCACACTCCAGGGCCAAAAATAGCAGGACATCTGGCCCTCAAGGCTCTGAAACCCAGTGTGCAGGGAGGGTCTCAGAGCCCAGGCTCCAGTCTGAGCTCGAACATCTACATGGCTATTTTTACCCGTCACGTGAGCCTGTCAGTTGACTGGGGCTCTGAACCTCACTGCTGTAGGGGTTTGGTGCAGGGGGTTGGTGTTTGGGGGTGTTTTTGCTTGTAGCGTAGACATACCCGGAGATGCCAGGTCTCCTAGCTCAGTGGCGTGGTGGAAAGTGTCCTCCTGTGTGTGCAAATGGTCCTGGGTTCTAATCCTACCTCAGATGGCACAGAAGAACTGGTGAGGAAGGTTGAGTGATCACAGAGCTGGGAGACTGATTTCAATCCCCTGCTCTGTCACAGGCTTCCTGGGTGCTCCGGGGGCAAGTCTCTCCCTGCCTCAGTTCCTCATCTGTATAATGGGCCCTGCCCTGCTTCCCAGGGATGGTGTGAGGACAAATACACTAACGATGATGAGGGGCTCAGACGCTATGCTAACAAGGCCCAGACGTGGGTGTAGACAACTGTGGGGGACTTTACCCTCCTCCAGAAAACATCGTGGATTGCATTAATAAAGAAACCTCGAGCTTGGGCCAGAAGCTCGTCTATCTCCCTTTATTAAAAGTGGACAAATTCAGGCCTGGTACAAAGCTGCTCCTGGAAGCAATATGCAACAACTCTGCCACCACCCAATAAAAAAAAAGTTGTCTACCCCCGGCTATCTAAGGCCTGGCCTACACCTGAGACGTCGGTCGCCCTAACTGCGTCGCTCAGGGCTGTGAAAGATTCTGCGCCCTGCAGGTCTCCTTAACCCCTACTGTAGGGGCAACTAAGTTGATGGAAGCATTTTTCCATTGATCTCTCCACGGCCTCTCGGAGGGCTGGATTATCTGCACTGAGGGAAAAATCCCTTCCCTGGATGCCGGAAGCATCCACACAACACCCGCGCAGCTTCAGCTCTGCGGTCGTGTAGACGTACCCTAGGCCACCTCTTTCCTGATAGAAAGTGCATGTCTCTATGTGTTGAATGTGTGTGTGTGTGGGGGGGGGGGGGGGGTGTGAGTAATTCTCTTTCAGCTCTGGGTGGAGTTAAGAGTTGGCAGATGAAACTGGGAGAACCTGTAGGACGTCCGCTCCTGCTAAAGCCTGACTGCAGCTATGCGGTTGCCCTGCCTTCACCAAGGCCGAGCAGCGTAGGTCTCAGCCCTGCATCCACGTACCCCGCCTCTTGGGCAGGGGTTCCATGAGAGCAGGAAGCGGCATGGATCGCAGGCTGTGACGTGCTGATCCGCATGGTAAGGGGAGTCCTGGGAAGCCTAGAGGCAGGGTTCGCGGTGAGCTTTTGGTTTTGTGCCTGGAGCACTGTTGGTCGCAACTTCCTTTCCCCTGGGGAGGGGGTGGGAGAAAATAAAAATGACCCATCTGGCTGCAGGAGTCTTGATCCAACTGAAGAGGCAGAGGCGTGTCAGACTCAGGAGGAGAGTCAGGTGTGGCTCAGGGGGGAGCAGTTCACGTCTGTCCATTGGCAGAGCTAGGAGTTGAAAAATGTATCCTGAGTCCCAGGCCAGTGATCTGTGTGCTAGGCAATGCTGCCACCCTACACACTATTGCAGAACCATGAGGCCAACGTTTTCAAAAGTAACCACTGACTCTCAACTCTCTGTTGAAGTCACTGGAGCTATGTTGATTTATACCAGCTAAAGATCTGGTCCAAAATTGCCCCGAATTTCTCTTAAAAATCAGGTACTTGTCTACACTTAAAATGCTACAGCAACAATGAGCCACTGTGGATAATCCACCTCCCCAAGAGGCGATCGCTAGATCGACGGAAGAATTCTTCCGTTGCCCTAGCACTGTCTACACTGGGTGTTAGGTTGGCTTAACTACACCACTCAGCGGTGTGGATCTTTTTCATGCTCCTGAGCAGTGTCGTTATGCTGAGCTAATTTTCTAGTGCAGACCTGGCCGAAATAAAGACAACGGCCTGGCCTACACGAGAAAATTATGTGTTCATAAATCCACACCCTAACCGACGTAGGTAAGCTGACCTAAGTCCCCATGTCGACAGAGCTAGAAGAAATTCTTCTGTCAACCTAGCTGCCGCTTCTCAGGGAGGTGGATTACCTACGCCAATGGGAGAACCCCTCCCTTTGGCATAGGTAGGGTCTACACTGAAGATAGTGTTTACAGCCATGCCGCTGTAGCATTTCCAGTGTAGACTAGCTCTAAGCACCTTTTCCAGACCTGCAGAAGAGCTCTGTGTAGCCCAAAAGCTTGTCTCCCTCCCCAACAGACGTTGGTCCAATAAAAGCTATGATCTCACCCACCTTGTCTCACTAATATCCTGGGACTGACACAGCTATAACACTGCAAACCTAATTTCTCTTTCACTTGCTTTGCAGCGTTAGGTTCAATCTATTTCATGCTGCTCCCTTAGCTAAGGCAAAGGGGGCGTGTTTTCATTATTCCTGTAAGTGTCTGATCCGTATCTGTTTCAGGCCTGGCAGTTTTGCTGGCTGCCCTTAGCAATTTGACCAGGACATCAGGATTAATGACCCTGGTTTAGGACAACAGTCACGGGACTTTCCATCCCCATGAGTGGTCCGAGCCTATGTTTTGCAATCGCGCTCATTCCAAAGAGCGTTCCTCAGCAGCGCACTGACCTCTAACCTTGTCAGTACTGGAGCAGGGAAGCGTCTGCAGTGAGAAACGATGCACTAGATGGTACTTCGATTGGAAGCTCTACGTTCTGGATTCATACAGCACCTTGCACTGTGGGTTCTGGTCTGTGATTGAGGCTCCTGGGTGCCACCATAATACAGATAAGGAATAGTAATAATAGTAGGATGGTACTAAATAGTAATTATAATTAATAGATCACCTTGGAGATTTAAAAACATGTGTCTTTCTCAACCAGAACCTGATCTAAACCCTGTTGGAGTCAACAGAAAGTCTCGCAGTGACTTTCACAAGCCAGGTCCTAAGCTGTAAAGTGGTTGTGTCTATGGTTAAGTTTATGACCGATCCACACAGGGTAGAAATTTGAGCTGGTCGGAAAAATTCCAACCAAACAATGTTTCATCAGAATTGCCAATTCGGTGAAGTCAAAAGGTTCCATAGACACAGTTTGGCTTCACCAATGTTCCAATGGGCTAACTGGGGCAGTGGGTCAGGCATCCAGCCCTGGGGGTCCGGCTCCTCTCCTTTTCATGGAGAATGTTGAAATTTTTTGTTTTCATTCCAAATAGGAGTGAAACCCAATTTTGAAATATCAAAATCCCCCATGAAACGGAACTACTTTCCCCCACTGTGAATATCCCACAGTAGCCCATGATGACAGCCAGCATGTGGGAACATTGAGCAAAGTTCTGCAGAGAGCAATGAAAATGGTTAGGGAACTGGAAAGCATACAAATACGTACAAATATGTTGTTTGTATAGCTATGCCAAGCAGTGATTACTACCAACTAGAGCCCTCAACCAAGATTAGAGGCCAATTGTGCTAGAGACTGTGTGTGCAAATAGCAAGAGACATTTCCTTATGAGCATGTCTTTGCTGCAGGGGGAAAAAGGTGTGTTCTTAACAAGCATTAAAATCCTAGCACAGACAAGGTGGGCGAGGTCATATCTTTTATTGGGCTCACTTCTGCTGGTGAAAGAGGAAGCTTGCGAGCTACCCAGAGCTCTTCTTCAGGTATCTTCTCTCTGATATCCTGGGACCGATACGGCAACAATAACACTGCAAACAACAAAGGAAAGTAGCGAAGGCAAGGCAGTTGTAGTTTTGACACAAGTTTGCTGGCAGACTAAACTACAGGCTCCCCTACAGTAGAGATGTAGGGCTAGAAAAGCATACCATCTACTTAACAGCACATATAAATCCAGTGTATGCATAGCTCAGTACAAAGATCTCCTTTATTAGCTTAGGCGTTAGTTATGTTGATACAGGAGCAGTGTGCAGTGTGAGGTTATTACAAGAGATGCACTGTCAAGCAACAGGTGTTCTCCGGATATTAACACCCCTCCGGAAGGCTTCTAAATGAATGGCTCAGGATTTCTGCAGTATTTGTGCAGTCTCTTTGAGTATTTCCAAAGTTCAGCGTGGGCCTTGCTATTTCTAGTCATGACCCAGTATTTCTGAGGGTTCCTGTCTAACGTTTCAACTGTAACAGGCCAATATTTCTACAGCACAGTCCGTGGGAATGGACCAGTCATCCTACAGTGCTTCGAACCATTGCTTGTCAAGCTTTTGGTCAAGCAAAGCCCACTCCTTTCTAACTAGGCAAAGGGAGATTATCTCCATCTTAAGAAGGGAAACCAAGGGTAAGTCACTGCAATAAAAAACCCACGGCACCCCGTCTCAGAGCCCAGGTCAACTGGCAAGGGCGGCGGGGCTAACAATTGCAGGGTAGATGTTCGGGCTTGGGCTGGAGCTCTGGTTCTGTAGACCCACGTCCGGGCGGGGTCTCAGAGTCTGGGATCCGGCCTCAGCCCAGATGTCTACAGTGCCATATTATATGGCCGCACCAGCCCATCTCAGCTGGTCCAGGCCAGCCGTGCTCCACGGGTCTTTTATCACAATGTGGACATACCCCAAGGCAGAGAGAGCCTGAGGCTATGTTGGACACTGCCGGCGGAGGGTACCGATAGCTTCAGGGAGCATTCATCTACCTGGCGTGGGTACCAACAGCAGCCGCAGCGCAATCCCCCCGAAGCTAAAGCAGGCTGCCACAGCTTCGCTGCCATTGGTACCCAAGCTGGCGGAGGTCGGAACCTGCTTACACGCTGCAGTCACCCCCTGAGGGATTTGCCCAAGGGATCTTGTGGCAGAGCAGGGGGCTTGAACCCTGTTCTCTAGCGAGCTAGGCCAACCGCCTTGACCCACAAGACTATTCTTCGATGAGGCCAAGTGGAGCAAACGTCCCCTGTGGTGCGGCAAGTTGCCCGTGTGTGATTCCCAGCATTTAAGCTGGCTCTGATTGCCACAATAAGAACAGATCTCAACCGAGGAATGAATGAATCCCTGAGCAGCCTCATGCCTCCCTTCCAGGCCCTTGACTCTTCGTCCACCAGCCCTGACTACCATTTGCTGTTGAAGTGCAGGCCCCCACGGAGCAGCTGCTTAGCAATGTCACTGCACTGTCTGCTCCCCCCGAAGTCAATCGCCTCTTTCAGGCTTTAGGTTCCAAACGAGCCTCCAAACGCCTCTGCTCTGCGAGGGATGTCCTGGCACACAGAGGCGCCTTTCCCAGAGGCCAGCTCTGAATTGCAAGACCCCGGGAAGGGATTACCGTTTGCCTTGCAGCTGTGCTGCCCACCAACTCCCGCGCACGCAAGGATAATACTCTGAGTGCTTTTCAACCCACGCGCCCGGCACCGGCCTCGCTAGCTTCTCCCATGCTCTGCACAATGTGTCTGCACCAAGAAGAAAAACCAAGAGGGTGCCAACAGCGGGCATCAGCTTGGGGCACTTCTAAGTTCTTAAATTCCCCCTGAAAGTTATCACCCACCAGTCAGCATAGCCCAGATCCTCTGGGCCTCTAATGTATATACACTTCCCTCGGTGCCTGAGCCACAAAGGTTGCTGCTGTTGCTCTTGATTTTACGTGGAAAGTGCTCAGATACTACGGGGATGGGCTGCAGTTTTATACCCCTAAGATAGATAGGCTGTGAGTCTGATACAGCTGTAGAGGGTCATATTTTACGACTGGAGGTCCCTGGTTCAATCCCAGAGATCAGCCAAGAAGGTGGCTGTTATATAAATGGGGGCTCATCTGGGGTTTAAGAGACTGTGGGTGTCACACACTTGAGATGAACGTCCTCTGTCACAGAGAGGGGCCATGGAACATCTGGGGCACGGAAATGCGTGGGTTCCCCTCCTACAGATGGCATCTGACCATGGTGATGGGCAATGTAGGTGGGACCTCCTGAATTTGGGGGGGGGGAGGGATAGCTCAGTGGTTTAAGCATTGGCCTGCTAAACCCAGGGTTGTGAGTTCAATCCTTGATGGGGCCATTTAGGGATCTGGGGCAAAAATTGGGGGTTGGTCCTGCTTTGAGCAGCGGGTTGCACTAGATGACCTCCTGAGGTCCCTTCCAACCCTGATATTCTATGATTCTATGACCGAGGCTGATGAAGCAGGAGCTGAGTGCATGGATGGGTTGTACTCACTCGGGTAGCGAAAGTAAAAATCGTTGTCCCGGTTGCTTTTGTTGTGGTGGCTCAGCTCCTCGTGCCAGAGTCTGGCGCTGGTCTCTTGATCGTAGCGGACGAAAAGAGCGAAGAGGATGATGGTGAAGAGCTGGAGGAGGAAGCATATTGCTGGGAGCTTGAGCCTGAGGTTGGTTGTGTGGCCAGACATGCTCCTGAGGAGGAGAAAGAAGCGTAAGAGAGATGAAAATGAAACTAATCTTCCAACCTGGCCGCAGGTGGAAGTTAACAAGCTGAGGCCCTTGTGCCAAGACTTTTGTTAATTACTTGTAGAAAGCCTCGCCCACCAGTCAATGAGTTGCCAGCTGGGTCCCTCCCACTGAAACACAGCGCAGCTCCAGAGGATGAGAAAATATTTGCTCATGTCTTCTTTGCTGCATGCCTGCAAGCAACTGTCTGTTTAGGCAGGAACAGAGGAATGTGGAGAGCCAGCTTTGCCAATGGCTCAGTGACTGAGGCACCAGGTATGGATTCCTAGAGCCAAATCCCTGGTTGAGGTAAATCAATTGTAACTCCATGGCGGTCAATGGACCTAAACTGCTTTACACCAGCTGAGGATCTGGCCCACTGCGTCATATCATGACAGCAGCTGAGTCAGCCTGTTATGATTCAGAGACAAATTAAATGAGTTCAGCACAACTGTTGCATGAGGATGACAATTTAAATGCAAGTCCTAGCACTGGAATGGGGCTAGGGAGAAATGGGTTCCGTTAGCCTATAGATTCAATAGATTAGGTTACAGAACAGACAGACTGGATTAGATTAATAATACTTACCTCTTGCTTCCCAACCTCACATTAAAGATTGTGAAGCAATTTAAGACCTATTGGTGAAAAGCATTATACAAGAAATGGGTGTTGTTATTGTTATCTCCTGCTTTTCCTCAGTAGATCTCAAAGCACTTTATAAAGGAGGTCTGTAGCATTATCATCATTTTATAGATAGGGAAACTGAGGCACGGAAGGGTGGAGTGACTTGCCCAAGGTTACTCAGCAGGCCAATGGCAGACCCAAAACTAGACTACATGTCTTCCAAATTGGGCTCCTTTGTGCTATCCATTGGTTTAGAGAGTAGATTAACTGAATTAGATTAGAAAATAGATGGATTAGATTGTATTTGGTTATATATTGAATGGATTATTTTAGATTGTGGATTAGATTGATTCAGTTTGGTATTGGATGTGTTCATTTGTGTTAGTGTCCACAGTATGCTAATTTCTAGAGATTCAAGATTGAAGAGATTAGATGCATAAATTTATGGACCAGATGGATTAGATGAATTAGGTTAGACAGAGGTAATAAATTGGTTTCTATTATTATGGAGGTGTCGATCATGACTCCACAATCAAAGCTGAGTTGTTTATTGCCCTTAAAGAGGAGTTTCAACCTTTGTATTTTGTATGAAAAATAACCCGTACCCTCCCCAAATTTACAGTGCTTACTCTTTGAGCACAGAATTAATTTTCTGAGAATTTACAAATAAATACGTTTGTTAGTTTATTAGTGTAAATTAACCCAAATCTAGATACTGGAAGAAATTTAGTATCCATCAGTCTTTTTTTTGGCCCAAATGTTGTTAACAACAGAATAACACAGGCACTTGAGCATGTTAACCAGGTGAACTGGATAAATTAGTTTGTAATTTATCTGAATTGTTGTATCTAATTTTTATGACTAGACAGACTAAAGGCAGGCTCAGCTCAGGTAACTCTTAAGGAAGGCCATTGTCAGATAAGGTAGTTCAACCAATCACCACACTTCCTCAAAAGCTAATTTGCATGCAACAACGCTGTTGGTTGTAATGACCACCAGTAAGGGACTGGTCAGTTGTGTCAAGAGTTCTCATGGGTAGGTTGTTTGACATGCACAGTTAAGGCACTCTTGCCATGGTTTCATAATGTTATAAGGGAACAAAATATAGGAAAAAGTAAATGTGTCTTTAAAAATCAGTTGTATCTAATTTAGGACCAAAATTATTTAAAAAGTCTTAATTGTAATCATATGTTTATTGCATGATGTCACGGCAGGGCAGAGTTAAGGTTGTTTGGATAACTTTGTTGTACATTTCTTACTATAAAATCTGCATTTCTTTTAAATGTATCTTTAACTCTGAATTTCCTGGATTTACGGTGTGTGGTTTTTGGGATACTTACAACATATCTGAAATGCCTTTTAGCTTTTAAATTACTGACACATACTCTCAACCTTAACTCAATTGTAAAGTGTTTTTTGGTCTAGATTCAACGGATTTGGGTAGATATGAGATTAGATGGATTGGACTGCAGAATAGTGCTAGGTGAAAAATGAATGTTTTGATTTGCTGGCAATTCTGAAAAATCCCCCCCCCCAAAAAAAATGTTTTGGATTAAACTGAAAACAAAATTTTTGAAATTTTCAGAGAATTGAAAATTTTAAAATTTTTTTTAAAAAGGTTTTAAAAAGTTTTGCTTTTGAGTAGTGAATTTGAATGAAATTTCTCAACAGAAAGTGATCTCAAACCAAAACAATCCATCTCATTTTCGAAAATGTCATCAGAACAAAACGTTTTGATCTTTTCTAAAAAAATTTGTTTTTTATTCAAAACAAATGATTTGGTGAATTTGATGTGAATTCGCAAAACAATTCAGTGTTATAGAATCAGCAATTTTCACCAAAAAAAAGTTTGAACCAAAAATTTTTGCCCAGTTCCAGGTTGTCAATTAGCTGAAAAGGAGAGAAAGTTTGGTCTCCCAACTGGGGGCAGAGAAGCTGTGTCAGCCTGTATTGTGTATAAATTCTATGCTCCTAATAAAGCCTGTACTGTTTATAAATTCTTTCACACATCTCTATGGGCAGGCAGTGGGTGTGGGGAACCGAGAGTGTGATTTCATTTTTTTCTCTGCATCTGCATTTGCTGAGAGGTGTTTGTAACATACAGAGACAGTGCGAATTCCAAGACTCGAGAAAGCAGAGGCGGAGAAACGCTGAATAAACTAAAACAGCCTTTGGAAAGTGACGTGGACACATTTTTTTAATTTTAAAGGCTCTGAATCAGATTCTGATCTCCGTTAACTTCAGTGGAATGACACTGGTGTAACGGGAGTTACTTCAGATTTGCGGCTGTGTAAAAAAGATTGAAATCTGGCTCACAAAAAAAACAAAAGAAAGTGGAATGAACATGTTTCAGAGGAACAGCCGTGTTAGTCTGTATTCGCAAAAAGAAAAGGAGTACTTGTGGCACCTTAGAGACTAACCAATTTATTTGAGCATGAGCTTTCGTGAGCCACAGCTCACTTCATCTGATGAAGTGAGCTGTGGCTCACAAAAGCTCATGCTCAAATAAATTGGAATGAACATGTTGTCTGCTGCCCTCCCATTAGTCACTCTGCTTGTCTGTTGTATACTTTTCCTTAGCCTGCATCTGTCTTAGGATGGCCCAATGGTTGGGGCAATCGCCTTGACCTTGGTAGAGCTGGGTTCAGTTCCCTGCTTTGTTGCAGACTCTTTGGGTGATCCTGGGCAAGTCCCTTAGCTTCTCTGTGCCTAGTTTCACCACCAGTACACTGCGGCTAATTGCTCTGCCTTACAAGTGTGCTGTAAGGATAAGTACTGTGAAGTGCTTTGAGATGTACTGCTTACAAAAGCCCCATATAGGAACTAGGTATAGTTAGCTTTTGGGAGTAGGGAGCCCCTAGATGCTATCTTAATAACCATAGAAATGTAGGACTGGACATGTTGATAATTCTGCCACTGAGATGACTTTAATGCCAATGATGTCAGCCTTGCGTTAACCCAGTGCAAGCAAAAGAAGGACCAAGGCCATAGTTGGCTCTAAATTTTAGGCCAACTCCCTAGCTGCTGTAAATCAGCGTGGCTTGACTGAAGCAACATCAATTTGTACCAGCTCAGGGTGTGGGCCAGTATTATTTCCTGCATCCTCAAAGACCAAATCAAACTGGGTATGTGTACAAGGCAAACCCCCACCCCTTCGGCAGTGAGTCTCAGCGTCTAGGTCAGCTGACTCGGGCTCACACAATGGGGCTAACAAGAACAGTGTCGATGTTCCCATCCCAGCTAAAGCCTGGGATCTCAGACCCACCCTCCCTTGCTGGGTTTCAAAGCCTGAGCAGGAACATCTACACTGACCCGTAGGCTCTGAGACTCGCTACCACAGGTCTTCTTTTGCAGTGTAAACATACCCACCGGGGCAGAAAAGAAAGGGGGGGACCAGTTAAAGACTGTTCCACAAACTACCTGGCAGCTGTTAATTACTAAAGCTGAGTTCACCCCTCACGCTACTCAGGGCAAAATTTCATTTGGACGTAGCCAGTTGAGGAAATATGTGTTCCCAGATTTACTCATATTGCTCCAGATACTCTCAAATGCTGGAGTCCCTTTTACACAGCCAGAGAGGTGTAAAGGGGCCCAAGCGTAAATGAGAATCTGGCTTCTTACCCCTGCTGGTTGACACAGATAAAACTCAAGTGACCTCAAACAAAGCAATTACCCAATTAATCATTAAACCTAAGATTTCAATCTATTTATCTTCATGCTTCATCTGTTTTTTTTAAGCCAATCAAAACATTATGCAATCAACAAACGGGGTTCTTTAATGAGATCTAGCCCTAGAAATGGCTGCTTATCTAATGCAAACATTGGCCCTGGTTCACATTTACACGGAGGTCCCTTAGTAGCGTAAATGGGACTGAAAGCAGTTATAAATTACATTTACGCTCGCTCCTCGGAGGCTGTTTTCGTGCTGCCAGAGTGGTGTAAAGGGGGGTGGGTCCCAGTGTAAATTCTCTCCTTTTTATTGTTTGCCTTCTCACATATAGGGCCAGATTCTCCCCTGGGGTAAATCCGTGTCATGCTGAAGCTGAGGGAGCTGCGCTGATATACGCCAGCTGAGGATCTGGCCTGTGGAACGAAAGTGGTTGCTTATTTTAGTCTGAGCGGGAGGAATCAGCTGAGTTTTGTCCGGTTCTGATGCCCGTGTTTGGCTAGAACTTAAAGAAACTGGAAAGGGCTGGATAGCTAAACAGACTTGTGATGGGTCTGGGAGTCCTTCAGTTCTAGGTCGCTGGTTTCAGTTAATTTCCTGCTGGTAAAAGTCACCCTGAGCTGCTGGGACCCTAGGAAATGAGCAGGATGGATCTCATCCCAGTTCCCAGCAGAGAGGTGTCCGCATTGCAAAAGTAACCACCTGGCTGGCAGACTCTTGGAGAGACCAAGGGTTGAACTGGTCGTGAAGAGTGCAC